ATTCAGTAGCCCTATCTACTGCTGAAGCTGAGTATGTGGCTGCAGCTTCTTGTTGTGCTCAACTACTGTGGATCAAACAACAATTAGTAGACTTTGGTATAGAAGTGGGATGCATACCAATATTCTATGATAACACTAGTGCTATAAGTATGACAAAGAACCCTGTTCATCATAAAAGGACCAAGCACATAGATGTTAGACACCACTTCTTGAGAGATAATTATGAGAAAGGATTAATCTCAATAGAATTCTGTGCTACTGATAAACAAATAGCTGACATCTTCACCAAAGCACTGAATAGGGAAAACTTTGAAAGGAACAGGTTGGAATTAGGGATGATTAAGATCACCTAAAAGGAACCAGTTCAGAATGCAATGAAAAAAAATGAAAAAAAAACATTTTTGGTTAGAAGTTCTGATTTTATGTAAATATCTAGACTAATTCTTACTCAGTCTCATACTCTAATCAGTATACTCCTGTGACGTGTGTTTATATTAATTCATTGATCTCTTACAAAGTCTTTTTTCTATTCTGATATATGAGGCATAATCAAGAGGAGTTCTACTTGAAGAACCTGGTTCATCAGTATATGCTCATGAGAAAAGGTCAGGTATGTTTCTATACTTTGCACAATTAGAAAAATAAATATTCCAATTATGAGCAGAAGTCCTATCCTAACCAAACTCCTAAAAATCTAACCGTTGTGCATTGAACCAGTTTCATTCTCTTCGAATTCTAAATAAAACGGGATTATCTCCTTAAAACTAGCGTCGATCAATTACCTCTTAAAGACCGGAGTCCTAATGAGATTAGACCCCTGATTGACCACTGCAAAAGACTGCCATTACTGCACCTAATCATACTCTACTTTAAATACACTCCACATATTCCTACTACACTCCATAACCATCATTAAGTGTTAAACCCCTGATCATCCTCCATCTCTCCAAAATTCTTCAAAATTCCCAAAAATCCTCCAGAAATTCTCCGCCATGACTAACTCTCAAGAAAATCCTTTAACTCCCCCACCAGTATCTCCTAATACATCTTCATCTGTACCTCCTAGCGACAACCCTAAACCAAGATTCCGCAGGCAGAAAATGTTGGCTAGAAAGACTGTTGCTACTGGTGTTTTGAGAACAGCTCTCAACGAAAAATTGAAAGCGAGTCAAAGAGGGGGAAGCTCTGAAAAAGAATCATCTGACTCAAGTTCTGAGTCTGAAGCTTTTGTCTCTGCAAGCGATGGAGAAGAACGTGGGTCTTCTGAATCAGACAAAAATCAAGAAACTCCTAAAGAGGTAAATACATGCTATGTTTTTTCTGATGTAGTGGAGAAAGTAGATGATAGGTTTGTGTTAGTGGGATCTGTGAGAGATGTAAGTGAGGGAGAATCGAAGAGGAAGGGAAAGAAAAAGAAAGGTGAAATTCTTGCAATTTGTGGAGGAGTTGAGGAGAGTGGCAACAAGCCAGGGGGAAGTGAATCTGGAGAAGCTGCTGAAGGTCTTGTGAACCTGAGTGAACAACAAGATGGACCTAGTTCATCTGTGGAAGAAACCTTGGCTGACATTCTGAAGAAAGTTGGAGAAAGCTATGATCCCAAGAAGCGCAAAGCTTCTTCTCAAAAGGCTCCAACTGCCTCTAAGCCAACAAAGAAGAGCAAGGTGTCATCTCCTAAGTCTACTGTCCCTTCAGCACCAAAGGTGAAAGCTACCAGAAGCAGGGTAAGGCAAAGCGAGGCTGAGTTGCAGAAAGCCTTAGAGGCAAACAAGAAAAGAACAAGAAAGGGAAAAGCTAAAGTTCTGGAAAGTTCTGTGGCTGCAGAAGAAGAAGAGGAAGAGATGGAACTGGTCCATCAGGAGAGAGGCACAACTGAGGAGTTTCATACTCCTAAACCTAAGAAATCCAAGACTTCTACCAAGAAGTCTTCAGAATCTATCTCTGCTGAACCCTCCCTGGCAAAAAGAACCAGGTCTGCAGTTAAAGGAAAACAAGTGAAAGTTCCTGAAGAAGAAGAAGCTTGGAGTGGAGAAGAAGAAGAAGAGGAATCTGAGAAAGAGCAGGACAGGTTTATCCTTTTTGGAAAAAGAAAAATATTGAAAGGAAGAATTCTGAAAGACCTGGAGGAGCCAGGCATGAAAAGATTGGTTGATGCACTAGAAGCACAGGGTTGGAAGGACATGGTTCTTCAACTGGATGGCAGGCTTGCAAGAAAGGAACTGATAGAGTTTATGGCGAATGCCACAGTGGTGAATGGGGTTGTTACAAGCCTGGTGAGAAGAGTAGAGGTGCAGTTTGATGCACCTAAGTTGGGAAGAATTCTAGACATACCCTGTGAGGGATATGATGATTATACTAGGCAAAGGTGGCCTTGTCTAGATTCTCTCCCTTCTGCTCTCCAAATCACCCGGAATTGCTGTGATACCAAGTCTGCTGAAGAAGTGCATGAGGCTAGGTTTGTGCAAAAGAGTGAGATGAAGCCTGAGCACAAGGTGCTATTTGAATTTGTGAACAAGTGTCTGCTGCCCAGACAGGAGAGAAGGCACACTGCAAATTGTATGGACCTGGTCCTTCTGAAGTGTCTTGTGACAGGAAAGCAGATTAACTGGCCTAGTTTCATTGTCAAGCTGCTGGATAGAGTGATAAATGGCTCCAAGGCCCATGCCACTCCTTATGGGTTTATACTGACAACTGTCTTGGCCAAGTTAGATGTGCCATTGAAGAAGTGGGAGATGGCCTCAGCAAAGAGCACTTTGGGATCAAAACTCTGCAGGCTTGTGATTATCTGTTAAGTGTAACCCCAGTTGAACCTGGTTCATCCGTGAAGACTCCTGTGAACAGCAAAGTTAGGGCATTGGTTCTAGAATGTGGAACAAAAGATGCAGAAATTGTTAGGCTCCAGGCTCGCATTGCTGAACTGGAAAGTGAAAGAAATGGCCTCAAAGATGAGCTAGCAAAGGAAAAAGAAAAGAGTGAAGGGATGCTCCAAACAATGCTTAATCTACTTCAATCCCAACCCTCTAGTTCCTCAAAGCCCTAGAACCAGTTTAGTAACTCCTTCAGTGACCCAGATTCGGGACTTTTCTCTGTTTTTTTTTTGGCTCATGGTTGGATGTTGTTTTTCTTTGTGGTCTGTTTTGTAGAAACATCTCCTAATCAATGACAATGTGCTTTGTTTTCTCTTGTTTCTATGAAACTTCTAATCTTAATATGTTAAATTTCTGTGAAGCTGATTATTGATTAACTAAATCATGTTTTTCACTTGCAGTTGCCTCCAGTGCCCATGAGTAATAATTAACATCTGGGATTCTAATAAAATGCAACTTTTCGATGATGCCAAAAGGGGAAGAGATATTGTGCTTTACTTTGTATTCGGAAAAATGTGATGTTTATAACCTGATTAAACCTGGTCCTCTAATGATAAGTTAAATTAAAGTGTGAAAATTAAGCTGAGTTCCACAGGGTCTCTGATCAATAAAAGCACAGAGTTTGTCATCATCAAAAAGGGGGAATTTGTTGGCCCAAGTTCAGATGAAGTTTGAAGATTGACAAAAATGAACTCAGTCATGAACCAGGTCCATCATGTGAGACACAGTGTTGATATGCTTGCACATGTGACATACGCGTGAAGAAGATAAGTCTCAAGGATCAGCAACAATATCCTCTGAATTGATCGAAAAGATTGCATACAGGATAAGGAGTTGAAGTCTCCTTATGAAAAGAGAATTATATCCGGATCAAGGATATGGATTAGGAGTTAGAGTTGTTCTTGGACTCGAAGTGTCAAAGGATCCACAATTCAAGTTCTTATCAAACTCTGATTACTAACTCTATAAAAATAACGATTGTTCTCTTTTACAGGTGGTTGCACATAAGAAGAAGTTAAGCATATTTGAGAGCAAAAAGATCAAGTCTGATTTGCAAGCAACATATGCGAGATACAAGTGTACACGTCTGAAGCTACATGAACTAAGATAGAAGAATCAGTTTCATCATTGTGTTTATTCTAAGTCTAGTTCAATTGTAGTAGGTTTTCATATTGTACCTTTCAGCTTTCATAGAAGCAATTGTAATAGGTATATTGAGTATTCAAGTTAGAGTTAACTTGAAAGTGTCGCAACAGTTGAGGCTGTGTGCTACACTGGGCTTAGAGTTAATCCTTAGGTTTACAAAGAGTTTTGTAAATGCAGTTTTTGGCTCAGTGATTTTAGTGGAGTTTGGGAATATCCTACTGAGTAGTAGGTCGTGGTTTTTTCACCTTTTGAACCAGGTGTTTTCCATGTAAAAATCTCTGTGCACTTTACTTTCAGCATTTATTATTCCGCAAACTGCTGTAGTTAGAACACTTAGAAGAACCAGGTTCTTCTAACGCGAAAATTAGGTACCACACAAATCACCCCTACCCCCCCCCCCCCCCCTCTTGTGTGGTATTGACGTTTATAACATCAAATAGCTTCACAACATAGATCATATAAGATTGGATAACTTCCCAAGAATTGAAATACTTCAGGTTTAAAATTTGGTTCCTACCTAATACATTTTTGGAATTAAGATACTGAAAGGATACAATGTTTAGACAACCCCAAACAATTAAGTACAACAGTTTATTTGGAACTTAAAAGAATTGGAGCAAGGATTGACGAAAATATGTATTTAGTAGGGATGTAAAGAATAATAGGAATAATGAGAGAAAGATGCCTCACTGGAGACACAGAGATGTGATCTCTCCCCCCCCCCCCCCACACACACACACACACAACAAACGACACACAC